GAATATTGTCCAACTGAAAAGATGTGGGGAGATTTCATGAGCAAACCTCTACAGGGACAAAAGTTCTTGGAATTCAGATCATTGATCCAAGGAGAACAAGATTAGGAGCAACGCAATTTCCTTTGATATTCCGTTGTCATCAACTATGTTAATGAAAGGGCAGGAGTGTGTTGGATATGTTAGGATTTTCGAAGTACATATTTGGAGAAACGAGAAAAAGAGAATACATGTGAACGATAGAGAAAAGATGTCGACTGATATGACTAAAAATGTCGCGCGTGGCAAGTCAGAAAAAGGGTCATATTTCTATGGAAATCATCCTATTGATGATGTAAGAAATCAAGATTCAAGCAAGAAACAAAGTTGGATACTAATCAAAGTACCGACTACGGTGGAAGGTGAACGAATAAGCAGATTGAACTTGCAGCATATCAGGCTGACGTAGAGAGAATTCTGAGAATTTCCACTGAGCTGGAGAAGAAAGAGTCAAAGTCAAAAGTTCACAGATTGTTCTCACTTTTTATAATAAAATGCAAGCAACGAGTGAATTGGTTGATAAAGTAGGATCTCTGATAGATCTATATACTTCTATATACTGTAAATTCACATACTTAGAAGGCAACAATACCTGGACATCTAAATTGCAGTCAATTGAACAGGTAGATTGCAGGCGGGAGTGGATCGCTTACTTCTAACAATCTGAAAAAACTATGATATACCTACAGTAACCTGCATTCTTTCAAAATCCCATGAAGAACACCAAAAAAAGGAATATACATTTGGATTGAAGTATACATTAGAGTAGTTTCTTCATTTTTCTTCGTCAAGGGCGTCAAATATGGCGCGGAATTTTGAGTTCGCCTTGGTGCGTTCATAAAATTCTGCAAATTTTCGAGAATTCATGGTTCCTTGTACACGTCCCATGGCTGTCATGGTACGGATAGCACTTTTGATCCATTCATTCAAACGCTCAAGCTCTGTACCAGTCTTTTGGCCTGGCTTTTTGTGCATAGTTTTCTCAAGAGGATCAACAAATGATTCAACGGATGAAGTGATGTGAGTTGGTTGGCGGACGCACATGCTAATTACAATCTGGTGGGCTTGCAACTGGATATCCTCAACATCGCTGAGAGCTTTTGCAAGAACCGGCATGAATGCATTCATGTCCAAAGTGCCAGGGAGCTTTTCTAGGCACGTTGCAAAGATACTAAGCGCTGCCTTTCGCAGGGGCAGAGCATCATCCACCTTGTGTGTGAAAGGTCCAAGATCAACTTTTCGTTCCATCTTCAATTCTGCAACCTTGTAGAGCGAAGGCATGATCGATTCCTTCATTAAATCACCAACAACCTGTGGCATGTGATGAACAGCCGAATAGACCATGAGAAGTGCTGCATTGAGTACGCTTAGCTCACTTTGCTCCAGGAGCTTCAAAAAAGTAGGCATATACTTCTCGACTTGAGTGGCATCACTTTTGCCTGCAATAGCAAGCTTGATCGACGTTGCTACAGTCCAACATACCAATGCATTCTTTTGGGACGCAGTATCAACACCATCGACAGTTCCATCTTTCGTTGTGATTGCAGAATGGTTATGTGCAATCTGTGCGAGAAGTTTGAGTATTGGCGATGGCTGCATGCAAGCCAATGATCCAAAGCACTCAGCAACCATGGTACGAATGCCCTCCTCATCGTCCGAGCTATGTTTTTCCAAGTGAGGCAAGATGACCTGAAGGCTTGCATTCACGCCAGCTCCACCTTTTTGCCCATCACTGCACTGGATGAATTCGCGAAGAGCAGAGAGAAGTAGATACTGTTTTTTCTCCCCATTCTTCTCAAGGGCCTCAACAACAGCAGGCAGGAACGTTGACTGTGCTTGAACTGTAGCTCTACCCAGGGAATATGCCGCAGAGTGTTTCAAATCTTCTGAACCCGAGTCGAAGTAGCCCATGTAGATCGCTGGCAATGCATCTGCGACTCCCGGAATGCTACTGAGATCCATCGCGCGCCCAAGATCACCCGATACAAGAATAGCAAGCTGGACTTTCTTCAGAGCCACCCTATCGCTAGGAGTTTTTGACCCTTCTAACAGAGTTAGGGTTTCAGCGATCAATTTCTGTCGATGCACCTCAGTCGTCGAAGCAGTAATAATTGCAATACACCTTCCAAGGTTGTAAATCGCATGCTTGCTTGGTGATGCTTCATCCAAACGACCGCGCAACATTCCCATCAACTCTTCAAAATCAACAGCTTCGCTGACAACAACCTGCTGCAGCAGAGCCAACAATGACTCTAGAGCCAGATCTTGAAGAAGGGGGGAGGTAGAAAGAGCCAGGGCTTGTGGCAGAACAAAACCTTTCACTGCTGGCCCGCAACCTGGACAAATCTTCAATACAGAATGAGAAACCCGGCTACAATCAAGTATGACATGTTAGATTCAACATTTCTGAAAGGGAATGCGTCTCGTCCGGGCACTTACAGGCTCAAATGACTGATATGCAGATCTGAATCAGCAATCAGATGAGCTAAATCTTCCAACACTCGGGAATACAACGCCTTGTCGTCTCCTGCTCCATGATTTTTTATCATGGTATCTAGCGCTTCTAGAGACGACTGCTTCAAGCTCCTTGACTGTAGCTTCAAAAACCCTGCCATAGTCTCAATGCTTTCTCGCAGCATAGAACTCAAGTCGATCTTCCCCTGTGTTGAAGCTGGATTTGTATCGCATATAGACGACAGTGTTTTGATTGCGGAAATTCTTGTTGTTTCATTCTTGAGACGTTCCAGCACGAGGCCAAGAAGAGCGTTCTTCTGTTCTACACTAAGATTTGAATGCAAGGAACCCAGTAAGCACGCACAAGCTTCCAAAGCACATTCCTTGATTTCCTGATCGACATCATGCACAGCTAGAAGGGGCTTGATGGCCAAGAATATCTTGTTTGCTACTTCATTCATCTCTTCGAGCTTTTCTTCTTCTGACTGCTCGTTCGAATTAAAGCCATCGACAAAGAACTGTGGTGCAGCAGCTAGTGCTCGCAAGGCTTGAGCAATTACTTTGTACCACTGTTCCTTCACAGCCTCGCAAAGTGGCGGCAAAAGGATCTGAGTTAGACCTTTACGGATATGTACAGGGTCATGGTTTCCACATGACAACATCGCAAACACAAGTGATAGTGCATCAAGGCGCAGAGTCTTGCTCGAAGTCTCGCGATGCAACGTGTGACTGTCACTATCTGCGAGGAATGACCGTATGTGCTGAAATACAGATATGATCGCATGCTCACCACCAATACCTCCAGGCGCCTTGCAAAGAGTGCTCAACAAAACGAGTGCATTGGACTTCGATCTCTCTCCGCCACCTTTCTTCACACCCAACAGCTTCTCGCACCCCTTCACAAGCGAAGGCGCATACTTTGTTCTGAGATCGATGGAAGTTACCGAACCTGTATCCATATCGTCGCTCGCCAAAGTAACAAACCCAGCCTTTGCAGCATCTACCGTGACTGATAGCAGCTTTGTAAAACAGTCCAAAACATCGGATCGACAGTTCTCTTCTCTTTCCTTGAAACGCGTTACAAGAGCCATTGCAACACTTGCGGCTTGACCTTGTCGAGTCTTGTAAGTCACCGTCCACAGTGCAGCAGGACTGTGCCTCTTTGCCTCGACGACAGCTTTTAACGTTCGAATTGCAGAGCGACGAACTTTCCACGACTCATCGTCGTCATCGTCATCCTCTGAATCCTCATCCTCGTACTCGTCGTCTCCACTCTCGTCATCATATTCCCCACTTTCGTCCTCGCCGGCATCTTCATCATCGTCACCATATGAATAGTTTGGATCATAGCTCATGTATGCAAGGGAAGCCTCAATAATCTTTTCCAAATGCGGCTCGACCTGAGTTGGACACCTTGTTACGAAACTTGCAAAACCCATGAAGCAAGATTCTTTCAATTCATTTGCGACGGCCACTGCTGCCTCGTCTTGCATGTCGTAATCTACCGAAGGAGACATGTCATCTTCATCATCACCAGTCATTGCATTATGGGGATTTGTGAATTTCAAGAATATTGGAAGAATACGGTCAATTTGTGGCTGCTGAAGACGGTGTCCAACGGCTCCACTCACGGTACACATGGTCCGGATAAGTGCACGAGTGTCATCGGGGTTTCCAGCGGCTGAATCAATTTGAGAAAGCAATCGTTCCACCATGCTCCCAAGCAAGGCATCCGACAGAACCACACTCAGACAACCAATCGTATTGCCAGCTCTTTTGCGTACAACAAGTGAAGGTCCAACCAGCTGTTGTAAGCACATTTGAAGAATTGGTTCATGTTGTCTTGTCACACTAACAGCGCTAGCGCCGAATCTTCCCAACAGGTCAGTTAGAATATCCAAGCACGCCAAAACAATTTCTTCGTTTTGGGAAGTGCGAATACCATCCAGCAGCCTACCGACCAAGCGCTTAGACGTCAAATCGCCCATACTGGGGGGGATTGTCTTGACCAAAGTTCTAAGGCCAATTGCATAGACATCACGAAGCTCCGATTTTGAGGCATCCAAGACTTGATCGGTGAGCGAGTCAGCAATTTCCAACACCTGTTCTTCCTTGACAGTCGTCAATAGTACCCCCAAAGTCTTCACTGCAATTGCTTGGACATCATTGGATTTGTCGTGAAGCAAGCGGAGCACTGCGGTACAAATCCTGCGTTCCGTGGAACTGTCGCTTAGCACGGAAAGAGAATCTCCTGAGGAGTGTCGCTTCAACACCTCGCAAAGATCGGACGTTGCCATGTATCGTTCATCTTTGTCATAATGCTCAGTCTTCTTCAACAAAGCGTTGATCGACGCGCTACTACTGCTCGTGGACATGGCTGATAGTGACAGATATCAAGGCCTGTTGTATTCTGCAGGTTTCTGTACAAATCTACAGCACTGTAACGAAATTGAAATGGATTCGTTCGATTGAAAAGTGACAAAGATATCATCTCACAAGAAGCAAAAGCAACAGAACCATTTAGTGAAGATGGAATGGCCAACTGATCGCACATCAGGGACTGCAATGGCAGTATGGAGACATGCTGCCGAGGCAGCTCTAGTTGACATTACTCAAGATCGAGAGAAAATTACACCGGCAATCGAGAACTTCAAGCAGTCCCTCGCAGCCTGTGAGAACTTTCGAACAGAATACAGAAATATCATCGAAGAATTCGTCACAATCATGGCTTCTGCCTCCAATGAGCAGGCTTTAGACATGGCACAAGCTGGTATCGATGCGTTGCATAGCCTGATGATTTATAGGCTCGATTCACACACCGCAGTTCCGGCGAAAGATGCTTTTGTTGTAACCTCGTCTTATGAGAAGCTGAGAACAGTCCATATTCAAGGTACCCAGGAGATTGACAGCAGTGATTTCCAGCTTCCACTGGTCAATCCTGCCAATATTAAAGAAGAGCTCTATGGTCATGGTGCCTGTGCTCAAGTCGATGCGTGGCAACAATATGGGTACGTGAAAAAGGCCTCAACCTTTCCAAAATCTTGTCCAAAGTGTAGGAATGATCGCTTATTGCTTCCAATCTCGTCTACCTTTTTTTGAAAGTGTGCTAGAGACTTCGGCAAGCGTATATGCAAAGACAGCTCTGGTGAGCCGTTCCCTCCCGTCGGTTGCTCATCGAAAAAAGTTTTGTCTGCTAGGCTGTACCTCGGAACTTGGACCTGCCAGGTCCCTTTTGCTCATCCCTGGTGCCGAAGTACTTGGCGTTTGCCGTGGTGGTGAGAAATATACATCCCTTCTTCAGTACGTTGAAGCGCGTTCACCGGTCACTACTCGGCTAACGGTCCCCGAGAACGGTGCGGATATCTTGACCCAAGGACCAGAGATTGCACAGGTATGTCAATGCTTATCGTCGGGTAGAACTTTTTGTCTTTGCTCAACGCTTTACTACAACCCCAGTGGATCCTTGATCAGACCAAATCAGAAGATACCTTGGTACTTATGCCACTCGCATATGCCGATGGCGAAATGAATGTCCGTCTTTGTGTGGCAATGGATGTAAGTTGTAGCTTCATACTAACTGAGGTACTTCAAATTTCTAACGAAGACTTTTTCATCAATGAAATAGTTGATAATGCAACGTATCACAAGACAAAGGCGCAAGGCGATAGTGTACCAATATTCCACCCCTACTCAAGTTCTAGTGCTGCCCCCCATGGCCGCATCAGCCGCACAAAACAGGCTTGGAAAAAGGCCTACTTGGGAAAAGTTCACTAGTTCTCTGTCTTTAGGCAATTGGTTGCAACCGTCACTACCAGAATCAAACAATGACTATTGTATCCTAAATGGTATCGCTACCGCACAAGGTCCCAACTATATTTTGGCAAAAACACTGCAAATGTGGCGTTGCATGATCGCCTACTATCGGTAAGTTCGAGGCTCTTCGCTGGGTTTACATGCAAGACAACAATGCTGACCAGCTGCCTCGAATAGTGATGACCTATGTGTTTCTGCTCCATTCGCTCCAATCTGTAGAACGCGCTCGGTTGTGGCCTACAAATCAATTGCAATAGTACTCGAAGGCATGCATCATTTTGAACCTATGCTAGCCTTTGATGCCTCTGTCGCTTCAAGTTTGATGTGTGCAATAATGATGTCACAGATTCAAGTCGTAAATCGACCTGTTCCAGATATGGATGAGAATCCTTTCACTTTGTAAGTGCCGCTTTGGCTTTGTTTCCTTCGACTTTTTCGGTTAAACTTCCAATCTCAATAATCCTTTGCTCTTCCTTTTCCAGGTTCTGGGATGGCTCAGCCCATGGGGGTGTGTGGACGTGTCCCTATACTCTGGAAAGTATCTCTACCGTAAATTGGATGCTTGGTAGAACAATGTACCCAAAAGGGTACATTCCGGAAGCAGCCTTGGCCAAGGAAAAAACACCTGAAGAAAAGACAAAAAGAACAATGGCCGCAATTAAAGCACTAGAGGAGATGGAACAGAGCCAGTTTGGAAAACCGATGCCCGAATGCGTGCGAGAGAGGCTTGAATTTATGTAATGCCATTTATGTGATGCCTGTTGCAATTGTACCAGACATATATATATCTGTATATAACTGAATCATTAATTGGTTTTTATGCTACTTCTAGAGTATCCAACTGCCGGTGTAATACGGCTGTAGAGGCCAGGAACTATGCTGCTTTTAGTCAGATAAGTTTGAACCATGTTGAGGCATTTTTCAAGACAAAAGTTGCTCTAGTCAATCATGTCAGGGGACAGATTGGCGCTCCCACTGTTGGTGGGGAAGTACAAACAAGGTTCCCGAATATCTCCTTGGATACAGAAGGAATTTTGTGGGTACCGTTTCGGAGGAAAGAATTGAATGCAATTCTCTCTAGCCAGGACTGTCAATGGGCAGATTGGCGCTCCCACTCTTATGGTGAGGATTTGGAAATGGAGAACCAGAAATTCGGTCTGCTGTATCTTTTCCAGAGAAAGAAACAAGACAAATTTGCTGTACAACATGGAGAGTTTGTGTTCGTAGGGGTTGTCCTTCACAAGGT